ATAGGGGTTAATACCCCTATAGTCCAGAAAGAGCCAGAGCCCATGACAAGAAAGCAACGAGCATTCTCTGCTCCCATAAACAAGTATATGCTCAGGATAATAAGTCTGTGACTTGACTAGAACCCAATGCAACGGCCAGTCCTTAACCGACATGGACAGGGAAAATAGTGTAACCAAGCTATGCCTCATTGGCCGTAGGACACAACCTCTTACACCCACCAATACACGTACCATATCCCTGCCCGGTCTCTATTTCCTTTTACCATTTTATCATGAGAGTGATAATAACAATCACCTATTGTGAGTAATGGCAGGTTACTCATGCTACCGATAGACTAAGCATAGAAGCTACTCGACCTGTGCTAGTAGGACTCATAGGTAGGTTATCTATGCATTTAGTTTCCATAAAATGCCAGTAACATAAATGCACATCACATATATATATATATATATATATATTCAGTGATTGTTCACAACAAGGGTTATGCACCGGGGCTTGCCTTGGGCAGGCGTGGTGTCAGCTCAGTCAGTCCGTGGTGGCTTCGGGACCTCCTCCTCGTACTCTTCAATCACCTCTTCGTACTCCTGCTCGCCCTCGGTCACGAACTCCACCAACTCGTTCTCTACATGCATGCCATGACGATGCAACACTCAATATTAAGGCAAGAGTAGTTCTTAAAATAAGAATACATCTACTAATCCACTAAGCTAGCTCTAATGACTAAGATACCGAGCTAATCATCTCTCCCATCAAACCCGCAGGGGTTTCACCTACAATCGCTACCTAGCAACTAAAATATATTCTTACTCTTATTAACAATTTTCTATATACTACAACAAGGAGTACTTAGCTACCATATTTCTCAACCTATTCTAAGGCTACAAAAATTACAGTAAGCACATAATAATACAATGAATCTACTATAAAAATTTCATGGTCAAATCTATTACCAATTTTCCACAAAAATTCCAACAAATACTAATCTAAATAATACTAAACACTCACAAATGATTTAATAGCCACTGGTATCAATAAATATATATATATGAACTAAATATACTAACAGATAGAGCATAATTTTAGGAACCTAACAAAATTAGTTTCATAATTTTTGGACACCTATGCGAATTGATATTAATTTTTAAATTCAGCTCAAAAATTAAAATATAAAGCTATTTCTAATTCCTTAAGAAAAAAGAAAAAAGAATTCCCCCCGCGGCCCACCACCGCGTGGCCCGCGCGAACACGGCCCAACGTGAGGCGGCCCACAACGGGGAGGCCCGCGCACGTGACAAATATGCAAAAGCGCCCCTAAACTCTGGGCAAACTAACCCGCAGTCCATGTTACTATTCCTAAAGACAGCACTTATACAAAACAACCCTCGGACCTTACTCCTCTTTACAACGGTGAGGCCCTCAGCCACCCGCGAGCGTGGCGGCGCGGCAGCGATGGCATTGTATGGCCACGTCGGCCAGCTGGGACCCACGCTGGCTCCACCAATGGGCCAACCCTTGTCTACAACCCTAGCGCCTACACTAGCCTAGGTTATAGGAGCAGCGGAGCTCACGGAAGTGGTGACCACGGAGTGCGGCCATGCGCGACAGCGTGCGTGGCCATGCCGGCCACCCTAAGCCACCACGGGTGAACTAGCTAGCGCTATAGCATCACTATCTTACCCTGGTTGAGGCTGCAGTGGTGGTTTGGCCAGAGGTTCCCCAAACAGGGATGGACACGTGCGAGCAGTGGGATGCGGCGGCGCTTCGAGATGGTGCGGCCATGTCAGTGGCTACGGCGAGGCGGTAGAGGTGCAAGTGAGGTGCGCAGGGTGAAGTGGAGGTGGAGGCGGAGTTCATGGTGTAGATGGATTGACGAGGGGTGGAGCGGTGGGTGGCTGCCCACGGCCACGGCCGGTCCCGGCCTTAATGGCGCGGCGGAGCAGAAACTCCAAATTGGAGCACGTCATGATGCAATTCAAGGTGGGGTGGGGACGGTTGGCACGCGGACATCAAAGCGCATACATGGGCACATGAAATTGAAGGCAAGTGCCTGCGCCCTAGCTCACCGTGGCCACGATGCTACGACGGAAACAGCGGCAGTCGGGCGCACAAAGGCGTGCAGAGGAGAAACGAGAGGACGGGAGGCGGTGAGGATGTGGTCGGTAGCTGGCGAGTGCACCCTGGCGCGATACGGCTGGTGCAACCAGTATGGCCCACGGCCGGCGCTAGCCGACGGCACGCGCTCAAGGTCGGCGTGGCCCGCGCGTCGTAATGCCTTAAATGGCATGGCGACGGCAGTCCGTCCCCACGCGCACAGCGCCCAGGCGGACCAGAGGTGCAGCACGGTGCAGCGGCTAGCGAGAGCGAGACGGTGACGCGACGGCAGCGGCAGCGTCACGACGTGCGATGGGGGTAGCGCGTGGGGTAGGTGACCGCGGCGCTCGGTTGTGCGAGCAGCAGCAACGCGATAGGACGAGTCGGTATCCACGGCTCTGTGTGGTGGCAGGCCGAGGAGGCTAGTGATGCGGCCAGAACAGCAGCGCAGTATCGGGACGGGACGTCCGCGCGGCAGGGCGGCAACGGCGGCCAGGACACCGGGCCCGCGTGGCTAGGCCGACTGGCCCGCGGTGGACAACCGAGTGCGCCAACGCGTGCACATGCAGAACGCCCGACGCGGCGGCGACGACCACTGACGCGCGGTGAACGCGCCCACGCGAGGGAAACAAACTGGAAGCGTGATGTGCACGGATTTTAAAGCTTCTGCCGCAACTAACCCATTACTCCTAAGCATAAACGGTCTTTACTACACTCAAGATGGTATATGAGGCTACTTAATCAAGCCATAGCACTACATCGCACTTTAACCCAATGCCTCATAATAGTTTGCTAAACATAGCAATGTCTAACTGCCAAGAAACTTCGAAATTTTTCGAAGTTTTGAGTTGAACTCTATTTCAAATTGCATTTCTAAGCTATTAGAAATCTTAGCTAGTAGTCTCATTTTTCGACCGCAAGTATTTCATTGTCATCTACAAAGTTTGTACTTCAAACTTTACTCAAGTATCACATACATGTTCTATACCATTTTTGCTTAATAAAAATTAGTTTTAAACCCTAAGTAATATAACATGACTATGGAATTAACTTTTATTTCGTATTTCCATTGATCGTTTTGAGTTACGAAAATTGATCTACATACTCTATTACATGCATTAACACATAAACATGATGCTCATGACATGTTTTAGTAAATTATTTACGGTGTAACACTGTTACACGTCGGAGGGTGCGCGCGAGCGTACCCGATGGGTATAGCCTCCGAGCCCCCGGGCAATCCTGGAGTGGTCGGTCGGAAACCATTGATCTCGAGGCTTAACATACCCATATGATAGGATCTCGCCACTCGGGAGGTGAGTGAAGCTAAAGGCGTCATGTGTTGATCGTGTTCCAAGGCATATTCAACGATTTAGCCCAAGGTTCCAGTAGACGGGGGTAGATATTCTCATAAGTAAGGGCCAGGGAGAAATTTGACGTTACTGCCTGATGTCCAGGAGTTCAGCGAAGATGTCGTGCCCCTTCACTTACTTGCGCAGGCTCCTTGCGCCGGGTGGCCGATGTGGGTATGCTCGCGGGTGGATAAATACCTCACTTGCATCTTACCCGACCCGATGTTATCCCAAGATATATATGGCCCCGTTCGCGTGCCCTTAAACTTGACTTGATCCGCTTATTTTTTTCATCTCCGGAACAATGTTTTTCTCTCACAAATTCCTCCAGCATTCCTCCAAACCATCCAGATTTATCCAGAATTCAGACAATCGAACATGCCATTCCCTGTGTTAGTATGTTTAGACATACAGTAAAAGTAATATACGTAGAAAATTCGAAACGTTACATAATTTGGAACGAGGGGGAAGACTTATATACATATTTTCTTGAGACAGTACTACTGATTTAGATTATCTTCAAAGATGGTTCCATGCAATTAATTTTATTCTGAAAAGCAAACGTGCATATTCTCTTGGGACGATGAATGGAATTTAAACAGCAACCCGATCTGTTAAAGTATGAATGATGAATGGAATTTTTGCCTACTCTACACTGTGAGGGCTTACCCTTGTACTCGAAACTGGTCAGTACATCCCACTTCGAAAGCATTCATCTGGACATCGACCCCCTCCTATACATACCAAAGAACAATAAAATCCGGGCCGTAGCAGAGCAGTGGTTGACGAACGACGCATGTTTGTGGTCTTGTGCGTGCAGCACAGGTCGTCGTCCTGCAGTAATGAGCGTGTGAAACCCGTCGTCGTCGAAGTGAACCTCGCCTCTACGTACGCATCACGCGCGACGCCGTGGCCAAACAACCAACCTGACCTCCACGGGCGATATGATCGAGATCGACACGGCAGGACTGAGCAATGATGATCCCATCCGTAACCGTAAGACAAGTCGAACGCCGATGTTGGCCTCTTGCGCCCACCGTTGCAATCATCAATGCTGGCTACGGATCGGAGTACTTTTGTCTGCACCTGTAATAAGTGACGACAGCCGCATGCAGTACACTGGAGGTCAGCTCAAAACAGGATTGAACTAAACAAAAGCAATACTAACTAGAATGGCTTTCGCATCAGTTCAAACTAATTCACACTGCACTGCACCTGTGGTACTAGTAATAGCATTATTACCCAGCCCATCGAAGTGGAACTGCACGCACGCACGCACGCCCCGGCCACCGGCGGCGTTAATCCGAGTTGAAAATGACATACTCAAATTAGTAAATCATTATTAACCGAAGCAGTATAAAACTCGAGCACAAGGATCCGGAATTTTCCATCCATCATCCGTCGAAAGAACCCTAGCTAGATGCATTGCTAGAACAGTTAGCTAGCAGGTTTTATTTGGACCGGCGGCGACGATGATGCCAGGAGGAAGGCGCAACAGCTGGTGCTGCAGCAGCGCCGTGGCAAGCTTGGCGATTCTGCTCACTTTGGGGGCAGCAATGGCAGCGCGGCCGGCTCCACTGGCGACACGCGCGGCGGCCAACGGCACGTGCCAGTCCAGGGTGGAGCCGTTCGGGTACAAGTGCGAGGAACACACCGTACGTAAGACAGACAATAACGTTCGATCGTCACAGAGCGAGTCGTGTGATCGATGTCGTCCAGATTTTACTTCTCAGGGGAGGGGACAAATTACCAGTGTAGTAGTACGCACTACAGTACATTGAGTGAGTGACTGTAAATTAAATGCGCAGGTGACCACCGCGGACGGGTACATCCTGAGCTTGCAGCGGATCCCCGGCCGCCGGGGCTCCGGCCAATCGGCGGCGGCCGGCAATAAGATCCCGGTGCTGCTCCAGCACGGCCTCCTCATGGTAAATATATTAATTAAACTGCATCAGAGTAATCTACAAGACGTTTCAGTAGTAGTAACAATGAATGAATGTAACTGGATTTTCGCCCGTACGTGCCCGCAGGACGGCGTGACGTGGCTGATGAACTCCCCGAACGAGTCCCTGGGCTACATCCTGGCGGACGGCGGCTACGACGTGTGGATCGCCAACACCCGGGGCACCGTCTACAGCCGCGGCCACACCACGCTGTCCTCCAGCGACCCGGTTCGACCGACCGATCGATCGCGTCCCGGGCTTTGATTTCTCATTTCTGCCGATTCATGTACTTACATGCCTGCTTGCTGTGCTTCTTCGGCAGACGTACTGGGACTGGTCGTGGGACGAGCTCGCCAGCAACGACCTCTCGGCGGTGGTGCAGTACGTGTACGCGCAATCCGGCCAGCAGAGGCTGCACTACGTCGGCCACTCGCTGGGGACGCTCATCGCGTTCGCGGCGTTCAGCCAGCGCCAGCAGCTGGGGATGCTGAGGTCCGCCGGACTGCTCAGCCCCATCGCCTACCTTAACAAGGTGGCGTCGCCGCTCGCGCTGGCGGGCGCAGACACCTTCCTCGCCGAGGTAAAACAAACAAACAAAAAGCACGCCATGTATCCGGATGTCACGACGGCTCAAAATCGACATACTAATTGGTCTGTGTCCTTTGTCTCCTTCAGGCTCTGTACTGGCTGGGGCTCGATGAGTTCGACCCGACAGGGTAATTTTCTTTTTTCTTTTATTCTATTCTATTTCACCAAGTTCTCACGCTGATTCCGCCTGATGACAAACAGAAAATTTTCTGTCAGAGTTACTAATTCAAATCCCTCCATATGTTACGTATACTCACCTACAAGTAGTGATTAATACAAAAAAAAATCGCACGCATGCAGGGAACCTGTCCACAAACTAGTGACTGACATATGCTCGCAACCAGGGATCAATTGCTACAATATGATGTCAGTGTTCACAGGTACTAATAAATGATTTGCAATCATCCTTCAGTTTGTTTCCTTTGGATTTATACCACAGAGCTTGAGCTTTGCTGGCGCAGGTGACAACTGCTGCCTCGACAACTCCTCGGTCCAGGTCTTCCTTGCCCATGAGCCACAGGCTTCCGCAACCAAGAACATGGTCCATCTGGCCCAAAGTCAGTCTTGGCTCCGATCCGAGGCTCACAAACATGTATATATATCACCGTTTAATTAATTTACTCGATCCCCAAATTAATTAAATCTTGTCTCTGAACTGAACGACGGCAGTGATCCGACGAGGGACGCTTGCCAAGTACGACTACGGCAACGCCGCGGACAACACGAAGCACTATGGGCAGGCGACGCCGCCGGCCTACGACGTCTCGGCGATCCCCGACGACTTCCCGCTCTTCCTCAGCTACGGCGGCAGGGACACCCTGTCGGACCCGCAGGACGTGAGCCACCTGCTCCAGGTGCTCAAGTCGCACGACGGCGACAAGCTCACGGTCCAGTACTTGGAGGACTACGCGCACGCCGATTTCGTCATGGCTGGCAACGCGAGGGAGAGGGTGTATGCGCCTCTCTTGGCCTTCTTCAAGCTCCAGGAAAAATGACATTAATTTGTATCAATATATAACTCGAGCTATATATGTAGTAGCATGTTAATCATGTGTGTTAGATTGTAAACGTGTCACGGCCCATGGGCCTGCCGTACCCGGCTCCCTATCGTGCCTATATGTACACAACATTGGCTCCTGAGTAATATATCGCGTGTTCCACACCCTATTACGCTTTCGTGGTATCACAGATGGTTCGCTCCCGCGACCGCTTTCGCAAACCCTAGCCGCTGCTGACTACGTCGCCGGCTCCCACACACCCTAGGCCGCTGCCGCTGACCTCACGTCGCCGGCCCTTCCACCGCCCGTCGCTGAGATCCTCGCCGGGCCACCTTCCTGCCGCTGCCTGCTGCTGATCCTATAGCCAGGCATCTGCTGCTGCTGCCGATCCGGTCCGCTGCCTGCTGCTGATCCCATCGCCAGGCATCTGCTGCTGCTACCGATCCGGTCATGGCCCCCAGCGACGACAACGCTGCTGCCGCCACCCGGGCTACCGAGGCCAAGTGCCTCGAGGAGGAGGCCCGTGCGGCCCTCAACCAGAAGCTCGCCGTCGAGGAAGCCGCCAACGCCACCCTGCACACGCAAGCGATCGCCGTCATCAACATCAAGGTTTTGGTTCCCATTGCCTTGGAGAAACCGGACAACAACTATAGCCGCTGGCGCTCCCTCTTCCTCATCGTCCTTGGCAAGTACAACCTCAAGCCTCATGTACTCTCCGACGACTCCTACCCCGACCGATCGGCTTGGTTGACCATGGACTGCTGCGTCCTCACGTGGATCTACGACACCGTGTCCAACGATCTGCAGCAATCATTGATGATCCGGGAACCTGACGCTCGGGCGGCATGGCTCTACCTTGAGGACGAATTCCTCGGGCAGTGCGAGTCTCGCGCCCTACTGCTGGAGGCCGAGTTCTACACCTTCAAGCAGGGCGCACTATCCATCACAGACTAATGCCGCCGCCTTGAGACGATGGCCGCCTCCCTCACCGAGTTTGGCAATCCGATCGGCGATCGACAGCTAGTCCTCACCCTCTTCCACGGCCTCAATGCCAAGTTTCATCACATGGTGTCCAACATGAAGATGCAGCGGCCGGTCCCCATGTTCGACGAGGCATGTACGCTGCTGCTCCTGGAGGAGATCGACCTCAACGACACCACCGACGACGCAACTCCCGCCGCGCCGCAGGCGCTGGTTGCAGCACCAGTGCCGACGCAGCAGCGCCCTACAACACCAGCACCCGCTGGTTCCGGCGCCTCCTCCGGATCGTGCAACTCCCATCGTCGTGGACGCGGCGGCAAGTCTAGCGGCGGTCCAGGCGGTCCACGACCCGGCGGTGCCCTTGGTGGTGCTCTGTCCCACGGTGTCGTCCGGCACCGTGCAGCTATGGCCTCACGGCTATGGCGGCCTCCCCTAGTCCCCTGCTGCAACCCCAGCCAGTGGCGTACGAACAGCCCCAGCCGGCGTTCAACATGGTGACGTACCCCTGGGCCCTACTACCTAGCGCCACCCCCAGGGTTCACGCCGTCGTTCACCCCGCCCTCAGGCTTTGCGTACAGGGGAGGCTCAGATGGCGTCCTCGGCTTCCTCATCATGCACACCACCGATGCCAACGCCATGGAACCCCATGTCTGGAGGGTCTCGGGAGCAGGCGTCCCTCATCAACAACTTCAACACGATGTCTTTGACGCCGCCACCTAGCCCCGCGCGAGTGGTATGCTGATTCTAGTGCCAATTCTCACATGGCCGCCCACTCTAGTATTCTCTCCTCTCCTCAGCCTCCCTCCTTGTCTGGTCCTTCATCTATCATTGTCGGTAATGGCGCCTTGCTGCCCGTTACTTCCATTGGTTCATTCTCTTTTAATGCACCGCGTCGTCCTCTTGTTCTCAATAATGTTTTAGTGTCACCTAGCATTATTAAGAACTTAATTTCTATACGTCGGTTCACCACAGATAATAATTGTTCCATCGAGTTTGATCCTTTTGGCCTTTCTGTGAAGGATCTACAAACGCGGAGCGTGATCGTCAGGTGCAATAGCACGGGTGACCTCTACCCGTTCTTCCCGCCCACCAGCAGCACACCCTCACTCGCCGCTACTGCCTCCACCTCCACCCTGTGGCATCGTCGTCTCGGTCATCTCGGCTCCGATGCTTTGTCCAAGCTTATTAGCTCTTAAGCTATTTCGTGTAATAAACCCAAACATGATCACGTATGTCATGCTTGCCAATTGGGCCGTCATGTTCATCTTCCTTTTGGAACCTCTACTTCTCGAGCTGTCAATAAATTCGACTTAATACATTGTGATCTTTGGACATCCCCTGTTGCTAGCGTATTGGGTTACAAATATTATCTCGTTATTATTGATGATTGCTCCCACTATGCTTGGACATTTCCGCTTCGCCTTAAATCTGATACTTTTGCCACGCTTTCTAACTTTTTTGCCTATGTGCGCACGCAGTTTGGCACTCCTATCAAGGCCATCTAGTGTGACAACGGCCGTGAGTTTGATCACTCTTCGGCCCGCGCGTTCTTCCTCTCACAGGGTGTCGTCCTTCGTATGTCGTGCCCATACACTTCTCAGCAAAATGGTAAAGCCGAGCACGCGCTTCGCACTATTAATAATATTGTGCGCTCTCTTCTTTTCTAGGGCAGCCTACCACCAGTCTACTGGGTTGAATCCCTCCATACTGCCACCTACCTCCTTAACCGTCACCCCACTACGACCCTCGGCGGCCTTACACCATTTTTTGCTCTCTACGACACTCATCCATCCTACACTCACCTTCCGGTCTTTAGATGTGCCTGTTATCCAAACTTGTCCTCCATAGCTCCGCACAAATTATCTCCCCGTTCATCCTTGTGTGTGTTCCTAGGTTATTCCTCCGATCACAAGGGTTATCGATGTCTCGACCTCCACTCCAACAGGATCATCATCTCTCGTCATGTGATATTTGATGAGTCCCTGTTCCCCTTTTCTGAGATGTCGACCTCACCCTCGGATCCCACCACCTTGGATTTTTTTGAACGACGATGACATTTCCACTATGCCCATTGGGCCTAGTGTTGTGGTTGCAGGTACTCCTGGCGTGCCTCAGTCGCCCATGCTCCCCCCTGGCGTTCATGCACCGGCACCCGGGGCGTCATTGCCCTTGCCCGGTGCCCCCCGCCCACGCCCAGTCCGCTGTCTGCCTCTAGCTCAGGCAGTGCGGCTGCACCCAGTGCACCACCGACCATCGAACCAGGCTCTGGTTCAGGTGGCGCCTCATGCTCCTCGGCGTCCGGCTCTGCTGCCCCTATGCACGTTCCATCCTAGGTCGCTGCCAGTAGAGCTGGGTGCACCACCGCTATGTGGCCTCAGTCCATCGTGCCTGTGGTCAACGATCACAGCATGCGGACTCGAGGCAAGTCTGGCTTCATTCAGCCAGTCGATCGCCTAAATCTTCATACGGCGACACTCTCTCCCTTGCCGAAGACCTTCCGCTCCGCCTTGGTAGACCCCAACTGGCGAGCAGCGATGCAGGCCGAGTTCAATGCACTCCTGGCTAACGATACTTGGACATTGGTTGCCCGTCCGCCTGTTGTGAACGTCGTCACCGGTAAATGGGTTTATCATCACAAGTTTTTGTCTGACGGCTCTCTTGATCGCTATAAAGCAAGGTGGGTTCTTTGAGGTTTCACTCAGCGCCCTGGGATTGATTATGATGAGACTTTCAGTCCAGTCGTCAAGCTAGCTATAGTTCGACTCACTCCTGGCCGATCCATCAGTTGGACGTCAAGAATGCCTTCCTCCATGGGACACTGACTGGGACTGTCTACTGTGAGCAGCCATCCGAATTTGTTGACTCTTCCCGACCCAGCTATGTGTGCAGGCTGAACAGATCACTGTATGGACTAAAGCAGGCACCTCGCGCGTGGCACAGTCGCTTTGCCCGTCACATCACCTCTCTCGGGTTTGTTGAGGCCAAGGCTGACACCTCCCTGTTCATTTACCGCCGCGGCGCCGACACAGCATTTTTGCTTCTCTATGTGGATGATATTGTTCTCACCGCCTCGTCATAGAGTTTTCTTCAGCAGGTCATAGCAGCTCTCCAACGGGAATTCTCTATGACAGATATGGGCCCTCTTCATCACTTCCTGGGTATCTTTGTTGACCGTCGAGCTGATGGATTATTTCTCTCTCAGAAGCAGTATATGTTGGATATTTTGGACCGTGCTGGTATGCGTGACTACAAGCCTTGCAGCACACCTGTCGATACTCACGCCAAGATGTCTGCGGATGGTGTTCCGATGACTGATCCGACACATTTTCGTAGCATTGCCGGCGCCCTTCAGTACCTCACCTTCACGCGTCCTGATGTTGCCTACGCCATCCAGCAGGTCTGTCTTCACATGCATGACCCGAGAGAGCCACACCTCGCCGCCATGAAGCGCATCCTGCGCTATATTTAGGGTACTCTGGATCTTGGTTTTCACCTTCTTCACACCTCGCCTGTTGATCTGACTGTGTATTCCGATGTTGATTGGGCCAGTTGCCCCAACACTCGCCGTTCCACCTCTGGCTACGGCGTATTTCTAGGCGGCAATTTGATCTCCTGGTCTTCAAAGCGTCAGGCAACAGTCTCTAGATCCAGTGCAGAGGCCGAGTATTGCGCTGTCGTCAATGGAGTTGCTGAGGCGTGCTGGTTGTGCCAACTCCTTCATGAGCTCCATTCACCTCTTCGGTGAGCTACCATTGTGTACCGTGACAATGTCAGTGCCGTTTATTTGTCCACCAACCCCGTTCAGCACCAGCGGACCAAGCATGTGGAGATTGATCTACACTTCGTGCGTGACCGCATCGCCCTTGGAGAAGTTCGTGTTCTACATGTCCCTACGACATCCCAGTACGCTGACATCTTCAACAAGGGACTCCCGACATCCGTCTTTATGGAGTTTAGGTCAAGTCTTAATGTTCGCGGTGCTCCTAGTTCCGGCTGCAGGGGAGTGTTAGATTGTA